ATAGATGTTATAAATTTCATTCCTCCATAAGATTCTGACGGGAACGTAGCGCGGGCTAACGAACAATACCAACTGACCGACAATTTGGCAAAAATGAGTTGGCGACTTTGCCGCATTCTTTAGTATAAAATTCGCAAGTTGATGATTTTAGCTGTTTTCTAATTTTATAGGGGAGTTCCTAAATGACGCTGTTATGTATGAAACATTGCAAATCTAACTTTAAAATTATAAAAATGGTAAAGTCTCGTCAAAATCGCAGGCGATATTACTAGTTAGCCATGGATAGAGTACAGTTGAGTCGCTGTGCATTAGATCGTCACTGAAGTCAATCCTTGAACGGTGCATTCACAGCCTCTTATTCGCCAAAAGTATAAAGCAACTGTGAATCATGCGGCGTTTTTCAACACGGCGCGGCGGCTCATGAAAGTATCACGGTTTGAAAGTGATCTTCGGGATTTATTAATTTGAAGCTATGATTATTCTCGCGAATTTTGACATATTACATCGATCAAAGTCATACAAAATTTAAAAATGTACGGAACTCCCGGTTTTCACGTAATACATTTTATACCTAAAAACCCCGACGGAAGCCAGGAGGTGGGAACCCGTGCATACGACACATAGCGCACATAGAGTCGTAATGTAAATGGGAGAGCTGGCGCCATGTTCTGCTCGACGAGTTCTGAGCCCGGTTTGCGCCGAGCTCGGATCACTTTGGGATAAAAGTCGAAATTTAAAAAGAAAAAAAAATTGCACGATACATGAGTTTCTCCGCCAGGGAGCTCTCCCCCAAGAAATCGTTCCCCGTCCGCCGGCCAAGAGAGCCGCGGCGTGCTGCCAGCTCGAAACGCACACTGACGCCTACAAACCTAAGGGGATACTTCACACATTGCGCAATGCTTGAAGTATTCCCTTAGGTTTGTAGGCGTCAGGACGCGTTTTGAGCTGGCAGCACGCCGAGCTGCAGCGTGCCGTACACTTGCCCACAATTAATAGGTCAGGGTGTTAAAATGTAGGCAATTTGACATCAAATTCAAAATTAGGAACTCAAAAGAGTTCAGATACGAAACTGTCGTGATCTTTCAGTCATTATCCGACTTATTTCCTCCTATTCTAGAGTGTTGGACCATAGTCGGCGGCGCTCATGAAATTCTCCCCTGTGCTCAATCGTAAGCTCCCAGATCTACTCTTAAATAAAAAAAAAACCTGGGTTTTATTTCCAAAATCTGATTGCAGCGGGCTTATCTAGAAACAATCACCTGTCGATGATCGCAAATATAATGATCTAATGATCTGTGGCGTGGCATGTTTCCTGATATATCGATTGATCGGTCATGTAAATCTATGAAAAAGGATCAATAATCAATTCTTTACCAGGGCTTCGAATGTGGAAATATCGATAATCGATCATTCATACCTCGCCACCGGTCATTTTATGAACTCGTCGGCACGTAAAAGCATACATCTAGGAGGCAATACCACGTAGTAACTGCGCAGCGCTTCAAATCGGTGCGTGTATTCAAAACTCCTTCAATTTCGTAGCTATGCAATTTGATCCCAGAGGAGTTAAAATAGTTGCTCGATATGAAAGTATGCATACGGCTATGGTGCATAGATACAGTCGGCAACACTGATGGAATGATGAGTTGAGAGAGAGGGGGGTGGACTTTGGTGCATCTTTTGTGCTTAGGTTCATTTTTTGTTGTTTGCCATCCGCAGACTGTGATTTGCGACTCCTTGTTAGCTTTCAGCCGAGCGCACTGTCCATGCGTCATAATCACTACTTTTTTCATTTTTATTCCGCTGTAGGTACATAATTTCTAATTTCACTAGACTCTTTGGCTTCTCTACAAATTGAAAAAAAAGGGCAAGACCATGACAGGATGGTGGAGGGCCTAACTTACACTCTTATTCAGCTCGTTAGGAGATTCGCAATTCCTTCAAGTTTTTTCTCCTTTTTACTTTCTCGCTTTTCTCTAAATTTGGTACCCAAGTAGCAGTGATCGCGGTAAGTTGCGATTTGATCGGAGAATGTATCGCGATTGTATCCAAAGTCGATTTATTACAATTTTATCGGATGAAAAATTGCGGTAAATTGCGATTTCATCGCATAAATTAGGAATAAAATGGCGATTTTATAAACGGCAATTTATCGTAGTATTATCGAAAAAAAAATCGTGAAAAATCGAGATGTAATTCCGATTTTGTCGAACGCGATTTCATAGAGATTTTGGGCTTTCTTCGGGACCATAGACGCAGGGTGAACTCATCCATTCAGCGGTGCTGTCATATATTTTCTATTTTCTTTTCTTCTTCTTCTTTTACGTTTTTACCTCAAGTCTGATTTTCCCCGACTCCATCGCAATTAATGTTCCCCGAAGGAGTGGGAGATTACCCCCTGCCACCGGAACACTCCGCAGCCCCCCCCCCCCNGCTTTTGTATTTAACTACGGCTGACAATCAACGACTCGATGGGCTTCACGAGGTCTCCACGTCGACGTCGAGGCTCATCAGAGTAGTTTTTCCTCCAGTCGCAATTTTTAGCGCCGCACACTAAGGTCTCAGATCTCAAAACTTGACCGAAATAATTCAATGGCTAAATGAGGAGCTTAGAGCACAAAGGCTAGAGCTTAGACAAGTCCAGTTTTTGAACAAATGGACCACTAGACAAGGTGCATTCTGATACATGTTTCTTCACCAAAATTTCAGGTAAAACACGATGCGCACAAGGAAATTTAGCGAAATCAACTCCATCCGAAGATATTTAATGATTCTTGGGGCGTGAATTCAAACCACCCGCTCATGAAAACTCAACGCTCTACGTGATTCACATCGCGCGCTAAACGTTATCATGATAGTTTCTGCGATATAAAAATCTGACAATCTCAATATTGACGCTTTGGCTCAGCTATAGCAAATTGCTAACAGTTTGAACAACACATGGGGGAAATGAACATTGCTCGATTGAGAAGCTTGCTGAAACCGTTGTAGTCCGTGATTTGACTCACGTAGAGCTTTGAGTTTCTTGTGAGCGGGCAGTTCAAAATCCGCGTGACCAATGTGAAATAAAAACGTTAATATCTTCGTTAGGAGTTGGTTTCAGTTAATTTCCGTTGCGCGAATCGTGTCCTACATGAAATTTTGGTTAAGAAACATGTATTAGAATGCTTAAATTCGTACCTTGTCTAGTGGTCCATTGTGACATTATTGACTTCAAGTAAAACTAATCTTAGCGTATACCCTGTGAAAAATTCGCTCCAAAATTCTAATTTTTCAAGCGTCGAAAAGTCAGTTTGAACTTTCTTTCCGCCATTAAGATCCACGTAATCTCGAAACTTCAGACACGTATTTCTCGAAATAGCATGAACTGCACTTTCGCACCTTGTCTTCCAAGCCCTTCAATTCAATTTCAATATTTTCTCTGCAGTGTGCTTCTTGGATAGGAGCTAATACAATTTTTCGTTCATCCCATTGCGGCTACATGGACACTTTAATAATCTTGGTTACGTCTTGAGTGTTTCACATGTTTCTCTGTTGCTAAAAGCTACCATTTTCGTAATATTTTTCAAAACTAGTCCTAGTGCATATTGTGTGAAAAATTCACCCCAAAATCCAATATTTGTGCATCGAATGGTCAGTTTGAACTTTCTTTCCGCCATAAGGATCCATGTAATTTCGACACTTCAAATATGTATTTCTCGAAATAGCAAAAACTGCATTTATGCACATTGTCCTTTAACCCCCTTAAATCTACCTTGTTCAAACGAAATAACGCATGTGGTGGTATTCATAACCCGTCGTTCCCCACATGAAGGAACGTAACTTCATTTCAGAGTTGCAAAATTGACTCAAACAATTCAATTTTTTATGAGATAACAAACCTGCATAGTTTTCGTTGGAAAGTTGTCTGATTTTTGCATTAGACGATCAGAGGCAAAGTTAATGGCATTTTCAGTTTGAAATTCTCAAAATTCTCCTCGTTAAAATGCCTATATTTTAAAGTTAATACATTTTTTTTACCTATCGGTTCCACGAGTCATAGCAAGTGAAAAACGCGTACCGATCTTTAAAGAGAAACAATGAGCAAATCTTACTTGAATTCATAATCGTAGAAAAATTGCAATTTAATTCGAAGTATCACGATTTTTCCGTTGAAAAATGCTACTCCGCCCCCCCCCCCCCCCCAGAAATAGAAATATACCAGGTTCGTTTATGCTGGGCTCGATGCCAAGCCTTTAGACGTTGCCAGATTTCCTTCACTAAGAACTAGATTTACTGGAAAAATTGTGAATATTTATTTTCGAATTTTTCAGATAATTTTGTTCGAAATTTGATCTTACACATTCGAAAATTTCACGGAAAAACATGCATAACTTTTCTCAAAAATACACGTTTTTTCCGTTGCGGCAACTCACAAATGGATTGCATTTTGCAAAAAGGAACCACTAGCATTGCAATATGTTGCTAAGATTGTGCAACTTCTTTTGTCTTGGAGGAAAAACCCGATTATCTATTAATAGTTTCTATTTTACTCGCTAAAAACTGGAAATTTAAGACAAAAATTACAATCTAATTTTCATAGTTTTTCACAATTTCCGCAATTGTATTGCAAAGGATGAAGTTGCACAATCTTAGCATCATTACAGTGCTAGTGGTTCCTTTTTGCAAAATGCAATCCAAATGGATCACATTTTGCAATAAGGAACCACTATTTCTGGCCCATTTTAGAAACAACATACATGCCATTGGTTTCCCTATGCAGATATGTGCTTTTATTGGAGAGCCAAAGATAGTGGTTCCTTTTTGCAAAATGCAATCCAAATGTTCATACGGCGTTTTTCCTTTGGACGGGAGGAAAACACAGTGTGCGCTGGTGGGTCGTATCGGCGCGCGATCCCCATTCCTCAGGTGCGTTATCTGGACGGGCTTATCAGCGGGTGCAGTGTGAGTGGGCGGGGGGCGGGGCGGGGCGCTGCGCGCCGCGGCGCCAGCGTCGGGATGCCGCAGCCTCTGCCTCGGCCAGAGCAGAGCCCCAGAGCCGTGCCCCGAGTCGACGACGCCGGTGACTACGGTGAGTCGCGGGTCCCGAATCCCGACGGAGACGGAGACGCGGAGTCCGACGCAGTCCGCCCGAGAATGGCGCGCGAGGCAGCCGACCGCGAGGCCCAGCAGGGCCTCCCGGGGCCCCAGACCAACATGCACCCCTACCCCCAACCCCCCGCCCCCGGGCTCCCCACCTGTCCCGCCCTCGGGCCCCCCAAAAAGCCCATCCGCCTCAAGAACGTCAGCAACCACTTCGAGACCTTCGACACCCTCCATCACAATGCTAAAACGGTGAGTCAGTTATTTTTTAGTACACTTTTTTTTTTTCGTTACCCCTCAATTTTTTTTTAAAATAAACTAGTATTTTTTTGCATTTTTTTTTAAATCAAAATTTCTGATAAAATTTCACCCCTCCTCTTTCTTTTTATGAAAATGCTTTTTAAGGAAAAGAATCCACAAGGTACGAAGAAGTGGTGGCTCGGTGGGAAGGATGCGGTTGATTCGATAGAACTACTAAAGCTCTTGATTCAACTTCTTGATAAAAGCTCCTTCTTTTTTAAAAAAAAAGAGGGGGAAATTTTCTTTTTCTTCTCAAAGAATAAACTTGATATGAGAGAAAAATGCTTTCTTCGTCGCGGTGGAAAAGATGTAGTAGATTTGAAGGTGGGGTTTGGGATATCTCTTTTCTCGCTACCCCTCTTTTTTTCAAAAATATATTATTTTTTTTCGCATTTTTTATAATCAAAATCTCTCTTTGATAAAATGTCATCATCCTCTTCCTCTTTTTCAAAATCTTTTTAAGAAAAAGAATCCATAAGGTACAAGGAAGAGGTGCCTCATTCACCGCGGTGGAAAGGATGCGGTTGATTGGAAGGGACGAATATAAAACTTTTGATTAAACCTATCGATAAAAGCTTCTTTTTTTTTTTAAAAAAAAAGGTGGGGGATTGTATCTTTCTTTTTAAAGAAAAAAGTTGATATAAGAGAAAAATGCTTTCTTCACCACGTTGGAAAGGATGTAGTAGATTTGAAGAGACTATAAGCTCCGTGCCCATTATTTTGTCATCGTCCATTAGGGAGGGATTTACTAGAAGTGAAATATATTCAAATTTACTTTTTTAAGTTTTATATTCTTTTAATTTTTTGATCTCACTCTGGTAAATTGGAATACGCGGTGCATTTTCGCAATTTTCTCGCTTTGGAATGCTGCAACATTGTTTGAATATTTTCCCGTAAAGTTTGGCGTCCCATCAACCATTTCTTGATCCTCTTTTAATATACCTATTCCGGTCCTTGTCAGTCGGCAAATCAACAAACCAAGCGTGTTCATTGTATGACAATTGACTATTTTTTTTTCTAAAGAAAATCTGCAATGCTCGGAGTTTATATTTTTCAAAACTTTTAAATTCCGCGTTTCCTCGTCAAGTTCCTCCGAACTTTTCACTTCGCTACTTGGAGACTGTACGGATGAAAATAAGTATTGAAAATATTCAGAATATCGGAAACACATTTTCGACGATCCTCACTGTTCAAATGCAGAAATTCGCTCATCTCTTTATAGACGCCCCTTCTCCAAATGTGCCTAAGGTTCTTTTAAATTTTACATCTGAATTGAAGTTCTTCGGTTTCCCCGATCATTAGGAATCCCAAATGAACTTAAATTGAGCTTTTTATCTCAAAGTTAAGAATTTTTCCTCTTTCTTCTCAAAAATTTCCACTCGAATCAAGGAGTTAATATAGGAGACAAATTTAAAGATTTCCTTCAATTAATTTTTTCGTCGAATTCCATTTGCTTCATGTTATCGCCAGATTAATGGCATTAGAAGAAAAAATGTTATAATATTTCAGAATGACTTTTGTACTACTTTGTGTCTTCAGAGGACTTCGCAAAAAGATATTTTAGGAATTTAAAGCTTGTGATCAAATCTCAGAACTCTACAACTACAAATACGGTCACCATTAATTTAACAAAGCGGTCCAGTATTTCAGTTTTTTTGCCACTTATGAAAAATTCTGCATCCTTAGCTATATCAAGAGTCTCCAGAAGTTCCGGAAACTATTAAGGGATGTTGTTCCAAAATATGTTGCCCGACAACGAATATTTAGAGAAAAATGAGTTTGAAATCTTGTAGTTTGATGGTTAGAGGAAACGGAGAAGAGAAACAAAATTACACCTCTTTCCCTGCTGAAAACGTCTCTTGGGGATTATGAGAAAACTTTTACCTGAGAGTCGGTGTATTCTTCAGTTTTATGCCACTGACAATGGGGCACTAGACGAAGTACAAACCAAAACATTTGGTTTAATGTTTTCTCTTCTAAGTTTCAGGCAGAAAATTATTAACAGAACGGCGAGTTCGGGAATCAAGTCGTAAACAAGATTTCTAAAGCATCCCTTGAAATTTACCCATAAGTATTCATAAGTTAACTCTAGCCGAATGACATAAAAACGAGTAACGTCATTCTATGATCTAAGTTTCATTTGAGTAGTGTTAATTTCATTTTACTGATTATTATCTCGCTTAAGAGTTCATTTCCTGCTGCGCGAATAGCTTTCCACATTTACTTTGAAGAGGGAACTAATAATGTTGTGCTTTAATCACGACTTGTCTCAGTAGTTTGATGGTGTGACTAACAGATAATCGATGACGTGAACCTTAATTACTTAAAATCTCGTTGAATTTTTCTAGGAAAGTTTGAAGGAGATTCGTCACGTACAGGATGAGATTTTATCAAACGCTTTCATTGTTTTTTTTTCCTCCCGTGTGCTGACACCACAGTGAAATAAAAATTGTGTATTTTCGTGCTCAGATGTCCGCTTAAAATACTGTCAAGCTAAGGAAAAACGCCGTATGAACCTTCAGACGTTGCCAAATTTCCTTTGATAAAACGAGAATCTCCTTGTAAACTTATGAATATTTTCCTCCCAATTTTTCAGATAATTTTGTTCGCAATTTTACCCAGAGATTCTGAAAATGTAAAGGACAAATATTCATAACTTTCCTCAAAAATAAGCATTTCATCGAAGGAAATTTGGGAACTCTCGAATGTTTATACGGCGTTCTTCCTTAGCATGGCAGAATAGCCATCGAAAAAATATCGATGTAATATAAAATACAGTATATAATCAATAATATCTCTCAATCAGCTCCTTCAGTTGTATAACTCTGATTTCTCTCAAAGCTTTCAAAGGTGTTGAATATTCTGAAACGGTTTGCGGTTATCTTCGCGACACATGAGGTTTCCTGCAAGTTTTTAAATCTTAATCATCGAGGTCGCAGAGGCTCTATAGAGAAATCTAAGAATTTTGCTGGTTTCCCATGCTTGGAATTCCCATATCAAAAAGAGGGAAGTTTGCTGATTTTATCTAATTTGGAGGTGAAAAAATCGGACTTCTTACTCCTGACAAAAATACTCACTTGTATTTCGATGAATGAGATGCTGTTAAGTTGATTTTCCTGTCCCTGTCACGGTACGGTTACCTCCTGACTCAAACTTTTTAAACAAAGAACTCGGCATACTAAAACTTGAAATCGCTTCATCTCGAAACCACTTTCTTTCAATTGCAAGTGTCAAACTATCGTATTTTCAATTCGTTTCCGAGTTTCCCAGTGACAATAACTTAGTTCCAATATAAGAGCCTCTTAGTTCGCGGATGGTCACTTTTTTAATTTTTTTCTTCTCTTTCAAATCACTACCATGATGCTGTCCTCGGTTCCAAAACCAATATCATTTTGTCGGTTCTCGTCTGCTCTCCGCTGTTTGAGGGCATTTTTTAGTTTTTCTTGTTTTGAATTTGTGTAGACATATACGAAAGTTACATGTCCCATATAAGACTTGGCATTTTAAGGAGGAATCGTTTTCGACGAAAATGAGAGAGAATTCTGGAGATGCCCTAAAAATGGTGGAAATTGACTTTGTTTGTTTGTTTGTTTAAATGTTTTTAGATTTTCTAATGTTCTATTTTTGCTGTTTCTTCCTAAATCGGGTTTTCTTGAAATCTCTCAAACTTGCATTTCTAAACCTATTTGAGCGTTTCCTAAATACTTATTTAAATTTACATCAACGCGTTAAGTTAGCCTTTTTAACGAAAATCCAGCACGTTGCAGAGAATTGCGGAGGCCTAGAGCCGTCTTCACCCATACACATCAACCTATCCATTCTCTGTAATTATTCAGACATGGGCTCCAATTAGCTACAAATTTTGCAGATGACCAAACGTTGGTTTGTCAGAAATTTTCCGCGGGGAGACCTGAAGATGGCCCTCGCAGTGCAGTTATTCATTTTGATGAGAGAGCAGATTCCAAATTGCAAATTTTTGCCCAAGGGCTCGGACGATCGTGTTTAATACTGCGTCATGGCGTTAAAAGGAGAGTAGTGCCCTCATAAATGCAAATTCATCCTTTTACCTCGCAATGACAGCGAATAAGCCTCAAACGCTTTTGGTGTCCAATAATTCATATTCATAAAGGCAGCTTCCCACGAGGCTGGATCACGAATCATCACACGCGGAGGTGCGGGTGGAGCAACAAATAGATCCCCTGCGGCTCGATTGTTGAATATATGGACGTATTTATGCTAAAAGGGACTATGTTACATGCAAATCCTATGCACTTAGTTCCTTTTAGCAAAAATACGTCCATATATTGATCGACTTTGATCGATAAAGACTTTGCTACACTGGAGAAGAAAACACATCGGATCTAGAGTCCAGACTCTTAAAAACATCGACAAGAAAAAGTACTCTTGATTCAATCAGAATCTAGCTTAAATCAAGAACCAAGCCTCTTAATTTAAGCGGATTTCGTTTTGATTCAAGCAAAAATCCGATTGAATCAAGAGTATTTTTTCTTGTCAATGTTTTCAAGAGTCTGGACTCTTGATCCAATGTGTTTTTTTTCCAGTGTAAGATAAGGGTTTATCGATCAGGATCATTAGATAACGAGTCAGTGATCGACCTGCTGGTACTTCTCACATAATAATTAAAGAATATTCGTCGGATAGTTTTGTCACTTTATTTGCAATATTGCGGCAATATTCCAAAAAATTCGTTCAAATACAGATATTCACAGTCGATCTTATTGCGGCAAAATTTTGCGATGTCTCACAATCAGTATACAGTATTATATTTTGAAAAGGTATTAGGTAATGATTTAAAAGCTTCTTTAGCGAGAGTTTTAAGCAGCTTTGTATCTAAAGTACGTCGAGTGTTGAACGTAAAGACATAAACTGAATTAATTTAATACTATTTAAGTGCTGATTCTTAAGTGTAGCACTTAAATATAGGTAATTAG